TTTCTCCAGTGAAAATTAGCTAGATGAACACAACTTAAAAAGAACAATCATAAACTTCAAAGAACTCAAGATGTTTAAAGAAGACTCCCTCCCCCCAAAAAAACTTTAATGGGAACAGCAATAAATGCCAGAGTGATGCCTAAGAAAACACAAACATACTGAACAAAATAAGGAAGGAAATGTAAGATTTGAAAACTGAACCAGAAAAGAAATACCAAAGAAAATGCACGCCAAAATAGGAGCTGGAAAACTCGGGGGAAAGCCTTACAATTAGAATGGACCAAGTGAGAACAAAGACTATCAGGACCTGAAGACAAAGTAGAGGAATTAGACCATACAAGCAAGCATATGAAAAAAATTAAAATACACAGAAGGAACATGCAGGGACTAAGGGAACATCAGAAGAGACCATGTCTTTGAATTATAGGCATAGATGAAAGTGAAGACTCTTCAGGAATGTCACTGACCATCTCTTCAATAAGATCATAGAAGAAATATTTTCCAAATTAAGGGAAGACAGACCACAGACACAAGCAGCACACAGCAGACCAAATAGACAAGACCAGAAAAGAAACTCCTCACAGCACAGCATAGTGAAAACACCCAGTACAAAGCAGAGTACCGGAAGCTGCAAAAGAAAGAACACAAATCCTACACAAAGGGAAACCTACCAGAGGCTGACTTCTCAATGGAAACTTTAGAAGAACATACTCCAAGTTCTAAAAGACCATGGTTGCCCACTCAGCTCAGAGTCGGCCAGAGTCCACATCAGCTCCCTCTCCCAGTGGTAGCCTGATGCCTCATCAAAGCCATAATCAGCACTCTTCTCCTTTGTTTCTACCACTCAGCACCCACTTCTGTTAAGTGCCTGATGTCAGTGTCTTGAAAACTGATGAAAACCGTATTTTATTATTCCTCAGTCATTGTTTCAGGTAAGAGGGTAACTTAATCCCTTAACCGCATCCTGCCTGGGAGATTTGTCTTTTCAAAAATGTTAGATTAAAAACTATCAGCCTTTACTTACAATGAACAGAAGCAAAACCTGATCCTTTTGGTAGACATCAACAAAGGCACTGTCCCATTGCCCTGGTACTTCTAAAATCTCACACTTTGTTAAGGAAATAAAACGTAAGACCACAAGTGATATGAAAACAGTTCCTACATTAACTCTCCATAGCATATTTAAGAAAATGCTTTAAAAAGCCTACAGGCTAGAGAGATGGCTCAGCAATTAAGAGAACTGGTTGCTCTTCCAGAGGACCCAGGTTCAATTCCCAGCACCCACAGGGCAGCTCATACCTGTCTGTAACCCTAGTTCCAGGGCTTCTGACCCCTCACATAGACATAACATGCAGGCAAAACACCAGCGAATATTAAATAAAAAAAAGCCTTACATACATAAACCTGATAATATTGTTTTCAGTTACTGAATTTCCCCCCATATAATCCTAAATATACATATGTCACTAACAAATTACTTCTGTGTATTCTAAAAGCCGTAGTTATTTCTAAAAGTCATGTCAAAAGACTGCACTTACGGAGCAATAGAGTCTACCCTTAGATTCTACAAAATAAAACCTAAGGACTTAACATCACACTTGAACTTCTTGCTAACCTCTAGCCCAAGTCTCTAGTGTGTGGAGGCTAGAGGACAACCTCTGAATTGTTCCTTGGGTCCTAGCCACCTTGTACTTTCAAACAGGTTTTCCCAAATGGCCTGGAACTCAATCGGCTGGACTGGCTGGCCAGAGAGCACAGGAACCAGCCTGTCACTACCTCCCCAGGGCTACAATTATAAGCAGATTGCTACCTACCATGTTTTTGGTTTGATTTAAATATGTGGGTATGGAATCTAAAATCAAACTTAAGTACTCAGGATTACAAGGCAAGCCTTTTATTGGCTCAGCCTCTTCTCTAGCCCCAGTTTTCCATTCTAAATAGTAATACTCTGAGGGCTCTAAGTGGATGGTAGTTTATGTTTTATCCTGCAGTTTGACTGAGATGGAGTTGAGCAGTAGTGCTGGCTTCCCTATGAGACAAGCAAGACAAATGTCAGTTTTTAATCCAGAATACACTTTTCCTTTAACATTCTTTATTGTACCACAGGCATCTCAGGGCTTGGAGGCTATATATACCACAATCAAGTTTCATGTCTAAATTGATGAAACTGAATTCTAACACTCAATAGAGAAGTCAACTTATTTAAAAGACATTACCAAAGCCATTTACAACTTGTTCAACTTGCCATATATGGACAGCTCACAAAGCAGAATCAAAATTCTCATGAAGATCAGCGTATGCACTCCTAAGAATGCTCACCACACCACCAAGTAGGTAGCACTTCAGCCTGAGCGCCTAAGTTTCCTTTTGACCTCAGAAAGGCAAGTGATACTTAGAAATCACTATGGCAGTTATACAACCTAGAGTTATTTTTCAGGAACAGCTAGAGTGAGGGAAACTATACAACAGGAACTCCAAATTACAGGTGACACATGAAAACCCTGAGCAAAGTCTGAGCCTGAGGGGCTAATCTGACTGGAAAGGCTTCTTACAGAAATTATCCAGAAGTCAGGCTGCAAATACAATCCAGAACTCTTAGAAATAAGGGTAGTATTTCTGTTTCTCTGCCTCATAGGCCATGCAGAAGGCCCAGATGAGCTGAGTTCAGCTGTTTATAACATAAGTTACATGTAAAGCTACTTATTATTTCCAAAATTAGGTTTCCAACAGCATGAGTGTGAGTATAGCATGAGAGTTTTTGTTCACACAGCTCTGAGAGAGGCTGCTCCTGCTTCACTGGAGGCCCTCTGTCCTGTCACTAATGCACTTGGCAGAGGCAGCACCGGATGAACCAGGGGCCTGCCTTGTAGGACACCCCTGCAGCACTGCAGGATGACTCTGCTGGCCCTGACTGTGGCAGTGAGCAAAGAAGGGCTCTCTCTTCGGCTATTGAACCTCTTCTGGTTCAGGAAGTAGAGCTAGAGTTCAGGAGCTAAATACACGTGAAAAAGACAAAAGGGGCTAATAAGCTTTCAAAATCAATCAATATTATGTGTCCTCATAGCAGTCACTGGCCTTTTCCTTCCACCAAATTGTGAAAGACCTATTGTAACATGAGGCAGCTACTGTGGAGGTCAGGCCACTGACTCCACTGTAACCTCTGACGAGCTCCGCTTTCACCCACCCTTGTTCTCTCTAACCTTTCCCCACAAGAAACTTAAAGTGACCATTCTCATCTACAAACCTGGTTATGTGAATCCCACGGTAAAGCTTTTCACTACCCTCAATATAAAATCCAAATCAGCTGACTTCACTCAAATTTTCAGCCACCTTTTAATCTACTTTCCCCTCTGTTCTCTTATATTCTAGCCATATTTGACTCTGTTTTCTCTAACTCATGCCATCTACTTTAGATGCAGTACCTGCATAGTACACAGTACTCACACCACACAGCTTTCTAACACACACCTGGCTGGCACTGGTGTCTTTCCTACGACAAGTTCCTCAGGAAGCAGAAGGTCAGCTTTGTATGGCTTCTGCATTCCTAGCTTCTAGCAGTGTCTGACTCCAGAAATGTTTGTGCAGTGACTGTCCAAATAAAAGCAGGAAAGGACCGAAAGAAAAAGAGCTAGGCTAGAGAAAGATAACTGTATCTATATAAAGTTTGAGGTAGCACTAGATGACTCTTGGCTCTTTATGAACTCAAGAAGTTAGGCTACACAAGGTAGCAGTATTTAGTGGGCTAAAGCAGGATATAAATTCTGGCCAGCCTGGACTACTCAGGGAGACCTTACCTAAAAGACACAAACTAAATCAACCTACCCCAAGTCTCAAGTTGATTCTTAGCACAATTAACATGCTCTGACATTAATCACATTTTTATCTTGTAATTATGATTCTGCCTACTAGGCACTGAGTCAGACCTGGAAATGTTTTTATTAGTCGATATCCTTTTTTTTTTTAAGCAGATTGCACTCTTAGTTCTCATGACCTAGAAAAAAAACTTTTAAAACTGAAATTTGGGCCGGGCGGTGGTGGCGCACGCCTTTAATCCCAGCACTTGGGAGGCAGAGCCAGGCGGATCTCTGTGAGTTCGAGGCCAGCCTGGTCTCCAAAGCGAGTTCCAGGAAAGGCACAAAGCTACACAGAGAAACCCTGTCTCGAAAAACCAAAAAAAAAAAAAAAAAAACCAAAAAAAAACCCTGAAATTTGGGGCTGGAGAGATGGCTCAGAGGTTAAGAACACTGGCTGTTCTTCCAGAGGTCCTGAGTTCAATTCCCAGCACCCACATGGTGGCTCACAACCATCTGTAATGAGATCTGGCTCCCTCTTCTGGCCTGCAGAAATACATGCAAACAGAACATTGTAAACAAAATAAATAAATAAATAAATAAACTGAAATTTGACTTTATGAAGAATACCTTCTCACATTCTTTCTTTAGCCATTATCTCATGGGTAAGTCTGTAGCATATGTACACATGCAGTTTATTTCAAGGTCCTTCCTGATGACATTGTGTTACAATTTAAAGGGAAATGTCAGCACTAATTTCAGTAGTCATTAAAACTAATACTTAAAGATAGTATAGCCATTAGTGCAGCTAGATGTAATGAAAAATGTACAAGAATTATTTAAGTTGTGGAACTGAGAATTTGCCATACCAAAAGAGCAAATTTACAGTGTGCATAGCAAACAAGATTCCTGTCTAATCATGCAGTTAATTTAAGGCTTGTGTAAGAATACATGTTAATTTTCAAGTTCAAGAATTAGACTTTTCCCCCATGAAAAGGATTTAAGTGCATTTTATACAAGGACAGAAGTACTGAGTGACCCTAAATGATTGAAGGAGGTCTTTTAACACAGTGTCTGCAGTACATTAATGACAATCACCGGGAGAATGATGTCAAACACTGCAGAGCGAGAACAGAAAAGGACGAAACTGCAGTTAACACTGCCACTTACCCAGGACCATCCATCCACGGCCACAAGCAGTCTGCTTACCTGTGACCGTCACACCGCCACCTTTCTGATCTTTGGCCACTTCCTGAACATGAGCTTCTTCGTCCACAATCACCTCTCTCCCTGACAACTGTAAATAAGCTCGTAGAGAAGATGGGGCCTTGACAGTAATAGAGCCTGTGGTAAATTTAGAGTAAAACAATACAAATCAATCAAATTCTAAATTTAATTGAAAATATTGCTCCTGCTCTACTGTTTTTCCTTCTCGGCATATTGATTTAAACAATAGTGGATTTTCTTTCTCCCAGGCAGTCAAAGTATCCTCTGAAAACATTCACCATGACTCTATCAGGAGTCTGGGCACCAGAACGTTATGAACTACTAGCTCTTCTTTTGCTAACATCCCTACCCACTCATCCATACCATAAAGGAGTAATTTACCACACACGTGGTACAAATAGGATATGCTGTCAGTGAGCATTTGCCAAGAGCCAGCCAATCGCCATCTGAACTTCAGGAAGTACCATTATCACTCCAATTTTAGAGTGGAGGATTTGTTCAGGTCCCCACTGCAGCTGCTGTCAGAATGGAGGTTTAGTGCAATGTGAAGCCTGTGCTTCAGTCCCTGGTGTTTCACACACCACGACCTCATTGTCCAGCAGGACCCATGTCCTCACTGAGCACTATGCCATATCAACCACAAGATCCTGTATGCTCAATTGTGCCTGGAGTGCAAGGAGAAAAAAAACAAGATTATTTGGATTCCAGTGACTAATGTTCCTTTAGAGTCAGATTTTTAAGTACTGGTGGCCAAACACACTCAGCTTTATTTTAGTGTAGTCTGCTCGCTGTTCTAAAGGAAGATTTTAAGATTCTAAAGGAATAAGTCAGAAAAAGTACTCCATCAGTTGTGAAATCCCTGTCAAAACAATCAGTGCAAGTTCACCAGCACACTCCTATTTCATCAGCTTCCTTCTGTTCTCATCAAATTTAGAGCCTTCTGCCATACAGTATCAGCTCATCTCTGGGACAAAGACAGGATGGCAGATACTCTGAGCCTTCCTTCTAGAATCCACTTATATCAGGGTCACAGTTTCCCTCCAGTCTGCTGAACATCAGCTTTGCACTTATGGCAGCAGGAAGTCTGGGTTAAGATGGACTTCCTGGGGCTGAAGAGATGGCTCAGTGGGTAAGACTCCTTTCTGAACAGCATGAGGACTTGAGTTCAAATCCTAGAACTCATTTAATAAGCTGGGCATGCCCATGTGTGCTGTAACCCACTGCTGGGGGAAAGGGTGGGAGGCAGGACTGCTGAGAAATTTCACTGGCTGCTAGCTTAGCTTTAGGTTCGGTGAAAGACCATGTCTCAAAGGATGGAGAGCAACAGGGCAGACACCCAACGTCCTCCTCTGGCCTCCATTCACACACGTGTGCACACACACCACACACACAAGATTTACGGACTCTCATTCATACAAAGAAGAGAGCCAGGTAGATAAACCTCTGTATCACCACCAGCCGACACTATCCTCTCAAAAATTCAGAAGTGAATTAATTCTAATAATGCCACAAACTGAAAGCATACTATGTGAGGGTTATTCATCTTCTTTATGACATGTTCAGTGGAAATCTCAGCACTCACACGCAAAGCTGGCTCCCAAGCTCAAACACAGACTTTCTGAAAGGATAAATAAGGTCATCCATCATGTTCACTCTCACAAGGACAATAAACAAGCATTCTAACATGTGTTCTCAGACCCTATGGCAAATGGTGCAGACCTCAGACACTCAAGTAGCTGGCCCTGAAGCCACAGCAAGACAGTAGACAGCAAAGCTGGAACAGATCGCCAAGGTCCTTGACCAACACTGAGCAAATGAACCCTGAAGATGAGATAGAAGTTGCTGTTTCTAGTTATCTCCAAGCTGCCGGGAACATGGTTACAGTAGGAAAAAACAAAATTATAATCCTAATCAAGTGTTGCAATATCAATATGTTGTTGGAACAATGCTATAATACTAAAAAATATTTTGAGTGAAGAGTGATAAACTTCAAAGTTTAAAAAAAAGTAGTTTGTTTTGATTTTTTATCTACTGAACAATGCAAGAAAAAACTTTCACAGAAGTGCTGTTTATTCAAAACTTTTTTTTATTCTGCTACTAGTTACATTCATGGTTAATAGTTTCCCTCTTGGGTCTTCATAAGAGAGTAAAATTATACGGCTAAGACTTTAATTGAGAATGGCCCTGTATATGGGGCCCTAAGTTTGAGTGCTTGGTCCCCAGCTGGTGGAACTGTGGGAAGGATTAGGAGGTGTGCCTTGTTGGAGGAGGTGTGTCACTGCAGGCAGGCTGTGAGGCTTCAAAAGCCCACACCTTTCCCAGTTAGCCCCTTGCTCGTGATCAAGATGTGAAGGCCCAGCTGCTGCTCAAGTGCCAGGTCTTCCTGCCGCTGCTGCCATGCTCCCCACTATGATGATCATGGACTTGAACCCTTTCAAACCGTGAGCCCCAAATAAATGACTTCTTTAATCAGTTGCCTTCGTCATAGTATTTTACCACAGCAACAGAAAAGTAACTAAGACAAAGTTAGCAATTTTTTGAGGACAAGATTGTATGGGCTGGTTTTGTGTGTCAACTTGACACCAGCTAGAGTTACAGAGGGAGGAGCTTCAGTTGAGAAAATGAATCCATAGGATTTAGCATTTTCTCAGTTAGTGATCAGTGGGGAAGGGCCCAGCCCATGGTGGGTGAGGCCATCCCTGGGCTGGTGGTCCTGAGTTCTGTAAGAAGGTGGGCTGAGCAAGCCATGGGAAGCAAGCCAGTAAGCAGCACCTCTCCATGGCCTCTGCATCAGCTCCTGTCTCCAGGATCCTGCCCTGTTTGAGTTCCTGTCCTGACTTCCTTCAGTAATGAACAGCAATGTGGAAGTGTAAGCCTAATAAACCCTTTCCTCCCCAACTTGGTTTTTTTTTTTTTCTATGTCAATGGTTTTGTATTTATTACTTCCTTGAATTCTTTTTTTTTTAAATTTATTTTAATTTATTTTGCAATACAATTCAGTTCTACATATCAGCCACGGATTCCCTTGTTCTCCCCCCTCCCGTCCCCCTCACCTTCCCCCCAACCACCCCCCCCATTCCCATCTCCTCCAGGGCAAAGCCTTCCCCACAGACTGAGGTCAACCTGGTAGACTCAGTTCAGGTAGGTCTAGTCCCCTCCTCCCAGGCCGAGCCAAACAATCCTGCATAGGCCCCAGGTTTCAAACAGCCAACTCATGCAATGAGCACAAGATCTGGTCCCACTGCCTGGGTGCCTCCCAAACAGATCAAGCCAAGCCAATTTGGTTTTTTGGTCATGGTGTTTGGTCGCAGCAGTAGAAACCCTAACTAAGACAAAGATCATATCCTATTTTAAAGACAACGAGCCAGAATCCTGAGAAATTCTGCCTGTGTGTCAGCACCAGTCTCAGTTCTACCCTGTGCTCAGGAGCTCTCCACTGATGCTGGTAAAGAGCCCTGACTGGACAGAAGTCTGCTCTGTGACACAGAAATGAACAATAGCAGGAACTCATTTCTGAGAGGAAATACCATCCTTGTAATACACAGTCCTATCCCAGCCAATATGCAAAAGGTTCTCTATTATTGTTTTTAATCTTTCTAAGTCTTTATACAGAAGTATAGTTCCTAATGTTCGGCACCTCAGTCCATATCGCTAAGCTATGCTGTCACTTGTGTATGCCTACAGAGAGAATTAGTTTTCAGAGGAATAAAAAGTATATTTAAGATGACTATTTAGATGCATGCAACTCTATTCAGCTTTCCAGTGAATAAAAATAAAATATGTGAACTCAAACTAAGTTACCTGATGAGAAATTATATAGACAAGTACATCAGAAGTCTGCTTTGGGGACCTTTGTGGGAACACTTGAGGACCACACTTGAAGACTACTGTTCTACAGTGACAGCAGGAGGGTCTCCACAGGCTGGCAAGAAAGCCTTAATTTAGAGATTATTTCCCCTACAAAGAATACTCTATTTCCTACATGACAAAACTGAAAAATCCACACAGAACATTAGAAATTCTACAGTATCAGTCAAAATATAATACCACGTTTCTTTGTCCTACAAAAAGAAAGTTTGTCTTCATGGCCAGCTGTCCTAAACATAAAGATTTCTGATTGGCTTAGAGAGCTCAATAACCAGTGTTTACATCAGGATCTAATAGAAGAAAATTTCTTGAAGTCACTGCAGATAATCCGACCACCTGTTCCCTAAACATTACATCGTCATTCTCTCCTTACAGGACACATCACGTGGTGACACTCCAGTGGCTCACCTTCCTGTGATGTCAGTGCCACTTCCCCCAGTTGGCTGACATAAACATCTATGGCACCCTGATGGCTTGAGGCTTTTAGACATCCACAGGACGAATCTGGGAGAAAGAAAATTGTACCCATGATTGTTCTTAATGGAATAAATGGAATTATAAACTTAAAAGGCCCTGCTTTGACATACGGGTAAGAATCTATAAACCTTGCGAAGTTTTGTATTTTCCTCAGAACTACGTCATTATTTTTATCAAAATGTAAACAAGTATTTGCATACTGGGTACCCACAGAAGCCAGAAGAGGGAATTGAGTCCCCTGAATTGGAGTTACAGACAGTTGTAAGCCACCACATGGGTGCTAGGAATCATACCCAGGTCCTGGAAAGAGCAGCCAATGCTCTTAACCACTGAGCCATCTCTCCTGACCCAGAGCTCATCTCTTAAAACCTGATTGTCAGAAGTATGACATGTAACAATTGGCAGCCAATGCCAAGACCAGAAAGCATCACTTAAGTATTTCATTTATTCTCAAATTGGCAAATTTAATAAAACTTCCAGGATTAGCCAAAAAGACATTTACCCTGTTTTCAGTCTCTATAAACAGGAGCAAAGTTAGTGAGAAATCAAGACATTTCACATTTTTTTCTTTCCGCAAACCTGCTGTAGTGAGAGTAACAGGTTGTCCACATGAGGTTTTACTGCACTTCTTGGAGGGCGGCAAGGGTGTGGAGCCATCACAGGAAGAGGGAAGGCTGTTTCCTGTTTTCATCTAATATTTCTTTACAAGTTCCTGATTTGAATCAGTATCTTCAAGTCAGGATAAGGAAGTCATAACTAAGTTAGTCCTTACACGGACTCAAACTTCCTGGTGTTGTCAATGACTCCTGTTTTCAGTAGAACAACAGTTTAAGGTCAAAGGGAAACAAAGTCAGAGACAAGGAAACTGGAGAATGACTTGAAGTATCAGTGCGAAGGGTCGTCTTCCCTACTCCCATCGCCAGCAAAACTTTAAGGTAATATGTAGCCTGACTGTACTGAGAAGGCCAGAGCACATTCTTTTCAGGAGCCTCTCTTAAAAGCATATTTTATCAAGAGCTTTTACTACTTCAATTGAGAAGCAAACTAGGAATTGTGGTGAAAATTATGCGAGAAATAATATTTTATAAAATATGGAGAGAAAATATATTATCCACAAAGGCAACATTTTTTCCTTAAAATTTAAATAACTTCAATCAGACTTTGAAGTGAATTATTCAAGATCTGGCACAGATTATTTAGAATAATTTGTCTCCAATCAATACCAAAATGTCCTTTATCAGACTCCAATTATTAGTTTTCAAGTGTCAAAAGTAAATATCAATGTAAGTAAATGAAGACATTAGGTAAATGATAAGAGACAGAGACTGGCTACATCACTGCTAGGTGAGCAAAAAGAGACACTTCATTAAAAACCTCTTATTAAACCCCAAAAGAAGCCATGTAAAAATGTATTATGGTAACAACAAACATGTAGGCTACCTAATGTGTACATGTATCATCCCAGCTTGAACAAAATGTTTGAAAACTAGTTTGACTTTCTTTCTCTGGGGAAGAGGGACTCTACAAGAATGTTAGGTGATCTACAAACAATGCTTTCATTTCCTTCACCATGGGGAAATAATTAGAAGTTACAAAGTAATTATATTTGAATGTTATCAGTCTTGAGCTTTGTTAATGTCTCATTTCCAAAGCTGTCAAAAGACTCAAGATGCGTTTTATAAAGAGAAAGAAGACATGTGATATTTAAAACCTATGTAGCAAACATGAAATCTCAAACCTATGTTTGCTTATGTAAGACCTGCACAATAACAACACCAGCTGACGTTCCAGTGTGGGTGGGCAAATTTCACAAGGTCCCACTCCTACATGTAGGCAATACATGGCTGCTGACAGGGCGGTAAATCTTCTGCAGGAATGAGTCCATAGTCAGCTGTCTGATCCCAGTAAAACCTAAACATGCACACACACACATATAAATAACACCAAGTGCACTCAGTAGGCTATATTTATACATACATATACATGTGTGTGGTGGTGTGTAAAATAAAGAAGAGGAAGTCGTGAATTTGAGGGGGGCACTGGAGGAGTTGTTAGGGTAAGAGAATGGGTAAGAATGATGTAAATACAAGTACTCATGTATGAAACTCAAAATTTTTAAATAAAAAAACCTGATAGTTTGCATTTTAAAAAGTTATGCAGCAAAACAAACTTTCTATAATACAAATTACTGAAATGAAAATTAATCACCAAGAGTAAAATGAAGGCTTTATCCACAACAATTCCATACTTTAAAGGTTACATGAAGAAGTTCTATAGCTCTTGGAGATGTCTTAAGGGAGTAGGCAAGAGAACCGAAAATATAGAGCAGACAGGCAGATACGTAGACTCTCACATAGAATTATCTGTTGTTAGAATTCTGGACCAAGATCCCGTTGTCTGACAGAGACCACAGAGTTACCTTATTTTTAATTACTCAAAAGAGAAATACTGATGTCAACTAGCAGTTTAACACCATACTCAAGCAAAGACACATGTATTTGTAACATATGTTTTGTTGACAGGAGGAAACAACTAAGCTTGAAGAACTAACATTTTAAATGTGTTGTTTTCTTTTAGATAAATGGAAAACTTCCTCAAAATTGGATAAGCATGTTCAAAGCAAATGTTTAATATTTTTAAATTTCAACTTTCAAGTTATAAAGGAGGAGTAAGTTGTTTTCTGACTGATTCATATGCTCTTCAAGCTATACAAAGTGCAAGAGCAGGCAGGTTTTATACACAGGACACAAGAGTTTGAAAAGGTAGAATTTTAAGGCAACTTCAAGTTTTCTATGAGGTCCTGTGGTGATATACTGTGTACCCTAATAAACTTGCCTGGGGATCAGAGGACAGACCCAGCCACTGGATTAGACATAGAGGCCAGACACTGGTGGCACATACACTTAATCCTATCACTTGGGAGGCAGGGATCCATCTGGATCTCTGTGAGTTCAAGGCCACACTGGAAACAGAGCCAGGCAGTGGTGGCACGTGCCTTTAATCCTAGTACTGGGAAGCACACACACCTTTAATCCCAGAAGTGACATGGCTGGGCGGAGAAAGGTATATAAGGCATGAGGAAACAGGAACTGAGCAGCAGTTCAGCTGAGACCCTTTCAGGTGAGGACTCAAAGGCTTTCAGTCTGAGGAAACAGGATCAGCTAAGGAGTTGGTGAATGAGGTTAGCTGTGGCTTGCTCTGCTTCTCTGATCTTTCAGCTTTCACCCTAATATCTGGCTCTGGGTTTTTTATTAAAAGACCAGCTAAGATTTGAAAAACAAGGTCCCCTCTAGATATTCCATAAGTAAGAAGGGAGTAAACAGGTCTCTGGGAGATGTGTGAGGCAAACGCTGTTCACTTTTTTAAAAGATGAAACACAGTTTTGGTAACGCCTTGAAGTTTTGGTAATGCCTTGAAGGGAGGAGACAAAGCAGAGGTGGGCAAGCAATCTGCCAGCACTGGCAGCCCACCACCAGCACAGCGGCCCTGGTGTCTCCTGCTCACTCATTTTAATTGTGGGATGGTCTTGTCTTGAACATATGCTATCCACCATCTGAACCTTCTTGTGATGTAAGCGACACACACAAAGTTCTAAGATCTAGTTCCTCCTCGTCTCTCATCAATCCCACTACATCCTCAAGAACAGTAAACCATTTCTCTTTCTAAGGCTTGTTCTTGCCATTCCTCTGTGTGGGAGCTCTGTATGCATGATTTTATAAGTCTTTTAGCTGTTATTTTGGTAACCTCAATTAAAATGTCTCTCTTCTTCCCTGATGGCCTAACTGCAATCACTTTCTTTTCCATAAACAATCTCTATCCTATTATCCTATTTCCTCACTGCACTTATGGTGATCTGAAACCACCTTTTGCTATTTACATGTCTGTTCTTTTTCTTCCTGGTGCTCAGAGGGGACAGCTCCTAGACAAAATGAGTAGCCTTGTTGACTAATATACTCTCTTTAATAGTAAAAGAATTCCTGACGTATAGCAGACACTCATAAACACAAATGGAAAAGGTATTGGCATACTAACAGTTGACTTCAAATAATAACAGTGTTAAAAACAATTCACACACACACACACACATACACATACATACACACACACACACACACACACACACACACACAGAGTAATCCTTTCTTTCAAAGAGTTAATGTAGCTATTTAAAGAACTTGAGAAAATTTATATGATTTTCTTTCTTAATACTAGATCCAGGGCATTTTCTCTGAGCAGACACATTCATACTGGCCTGTCTACACAGGACCTAAGTGAGATTTGAGAGACAAACTATAGATTTTAATAAAGCATCACAACTATAGATGTTTTAAGCCATTACCAACCAGCATCTTGACACATACCCACTGTAATGTTACCCATCTTGCTTTGTAATATGATATTTCCTGCAAAAGAGAGAAAATCAGAGTTTGAAATTACTAGGGATGATGTGGAAGGAACTGTTATTAAGAATCCTAATGCACAGGCTACATATCCACAATGTCATTTAGTACTACTACTACTGTTGTGGTCATTTCTGTCATGATCAGAGATCCAGCCACAGGTTTACTTGAAGTTCTGAAACAAATGACTGTGGGCCTATAACCTCCACATATCCCCACACTGAAGGTTTATAGAATAGCTACAAAACAATCATACTTATACATGAAGGAAAGGAAATGACACCCTGACAAACGTACTCCCCACGCATTTTCAACCTAAACAGCAACATCAGTTCATTAATTAGACCACACAAAACCAAGTTTTAGCCAAGGAACACAAATGTTTCACGGAAATGTCTTTTTTTTTCCAGGCCAGTTGCCACATCTGTTGGATTAAAGTAGTTTCTGAGCCAAGTGTTAAAGTGGTTTAGGATAACAATAATGAATACACAGATGTATAACTAACAAAGAAAAAGGCTTCAAAGCTTTCCACCATGCAATGAGAATCTATTTCCAGAATTACAATAGGGTGTTGCATCTGTTCTTCTCAGCCCCCTTAGTTTAAAAACAGGACTGTTATTCACATGTGTGTCTGTGGGTACAAGTACTCCTAGAGTCAGAAATTCAGAGCTTCTTACCCCAAAACGTATGCCATATCATCTCTTCTAATATCATCTAAAACTACAGAAAACAAGGAATAACTTGAATTCAAAATTAATCAATTTTAATTCAAAATTATTTCATATATTTTGTAAATAATAGTATGCCAACTTCTGGAAAAAGTAAAAAGAAAGACACGATTCATTTGCCCAATACTCAGACATGTGTGATGGCAAAAATAGTTGTAAAGGTCTAACATTCCACCACACTTCATGTGAGTCCAAGAACAAGGGGTACATTTATGTAGGGATAAGAACATGGTTTAAATGGAGAAGCCCATAAAATTATTTTTATGTCTTAGGATATTACAAGGCTTTGAATATCTTGTTAAACATGTTAAGTAAATATTACTTCATTGGTTTGCTCTATATACTCTCTTCCAATTTTCAAACCCAGTAAATATAGTCTCACCATCACATGCGAACAGTAGCCAAAGGCATACAGCTCTAAAATGGCTCCCACTATTCCTTCCTCCTAGCATCCATGCCCTTTGTATGATCTTCCATCATGTGCAGGCCAGACCTCAGTAGCTTGCTTTAACAAAGAGAGCAGGAGAAAGGTGCTGGGCTGTCATTTCCATGATTAGGTTATAAAAAGATTACAATTCTATATTTCTAGTCTCCTGCGATTCTCATGGAAGTCAGCTGTAACACTGTCAATTGCCCTTTCAAGAGATCTCTGTGGTGATATTGTGTTCCCCAAAATATTGTGTACCCTAATAAACTTATCTGGGGTCAGAGAACAGAACAGCCACTAGATATAGAGGCCAGAAAATAGTGGCACACACGCTTTTAATCCTATCACTTGGGAGGCAGAGATCCATCCAGATCTCTGTGAGTTGAAAGCCACACTGGAAACAGTCAGGCATGGTGACTCACGCCTTTAATCCCAGGAAGTGATACCAGAAAGCAGAAAGGTATATAAAGCATGAAAACCAGGAACTAGAGCTGGTTAAGCTTTTAGGCTTTTGAGCAGCAGTTCAGCTGAGACCCATTCAGATGAGGACTCAGAGGCTTCTAGTCTGAGAAAACAGGATCAGCTGAGGAACTGGCGAGGGGAGGTAGCTGTGGCTTGTTCTACTTCTCTGATCTTCCAGCATTCACCCCAATATCTGGCCTCAGGTTTGATTTTATTAATAAGACTCATTAAGATTCATGCTACAGGCCTCTGGCTAACAGGATGAGCTGGATTCTGACAACAGTCCTGAGTAGGCATGGAGCCATATTTACCCTTGCTGAACACTGACAAGAGCTCACAGCCCAGGATGACATCATGATTATAATCCTATGAGAGATCTTAAATCAGAAACTCAGCTAGGCCACTCTAGAACTAAGAGTTTTATAGCCACACAGCTACTGAGTCCAGTCACCCATACACAAGAAAATTGAGCCCTATACACTTAAAATAGTCTTAAATTACTGTAGCAAAATATTATTTTTAAATGAAAATACAATCCTCTCAAAATTGGTTGTGATATGGAAGTCTTGAGGAAATGATTATGACAGCTATAAAACAAAAGCTTAAGATCCACATAGAATGAAAACTACTTCTCATTATAGTGACATGTATCTAATAACTTCCCTCTTGAATATTAGAGTTCTACTATACAGTAAAAAACAAAATGAAACAAAAAACTGAACTAAAGAATGGTTATAAAGAACACTTCAAAAATAGGTGGTGGTGCACACGCCTTTAATCCTAGCACTCAGGAGGCAGAGGCAGGCGGATCTCTGTGAGTTTGAGGCCAGCCTGGTCTACAGCCAAGGCTACACGGAGAAACCCTGTCTCAAAAAAACAAACAAAAAAAATTGTTCTCAATAATGAACAAACAACAAAAATGTGTATGTACACACACACACACACACACCAATAATAAAGAAAAGTAGGCCATTAATTTGAGATGGGGGAACATAAGAGGGGTTGAAGGGAGGAAAAGTTAGTGGAAGGCGATATAGTTAAATATTAATTAAAATATATTAAAAGACACAAAAATATTTTCAATTCACACCAAAATATTTAGAAAATCTCTACCTTAAACAGAAATATTCCAAAGTCATCAGAATATACAAAATGAACTTCTGTCTTAGCTATTTTGTGGATACATAATACATAAAAGTATGCAACTCAACCATGGGCATTATTAGCATAATTATCCACATTTTAGTTTCATCTATTTCATAGTGATCACTGAAAGAATAAATGAATCAACTATTTGAGACAAATTTAGTGAAATATTTTCATTCCCCATGAAGTCAGAAGCATATGGCCTATGGTAACTGTGTGTTTTCCAATACTCTCAAGTTGCACAACTTTTCCACAATTCCAGTATTTAAGAACACACAGTTTTTCTCCTCTCAGAACCCTTCATTTTAGCATGATTAGAGAAAACAAATAATCAATTAAAAGGTATAAACACTATTTTCTTCAGCAAAAGAATATGGTTATGGTTAAATAGCACATACATGTTCATGATCTAGACAGACCCTTCAAATTAAAGCCCTTTTGTCTTAGTTAGGGTTTCTATTGCTGTGAAGAAACACCATGTCCATGGCAACTCTTATAAAGGAAAACATTTAATTGGAGTGGCTTACATTTTCATTGGTTTAGTCCATTATCATCATGGCAGGACATGGCAGCATGCAGGCAGACATGGTGCTGAAAAACTAGTTGAGAGTTCTACGTCTTGTAGGCAACAGGAAGTGGTCTGAGACACTGGGCAGTATTTTGAGCATATATGAGACCTCAAAGCCCACCTCCACTGTGACGTACTTCCCCCAACAAGACCACACCTGCTCCAAAAAAGCCACACCTCCGAACAGTACCACTCCCTTTGGAGGCCATTTTCTTTCAAATCACCACACCTTTGGATGGTTTTGAGGAGGTAGTACATGGGAGAGATGGGAAGAAAGGCCCTTGCTACCGCAAGCCACAAGGCTAAATGCTAAGAATTTGCAAACAAAATATGATTCTTTCTCTTGAGGGATTTATAACTAAGCAACAATTTATAGATAGTGGAAAACCAGAGATAATGGAAGAATATTTTATCTAAATATTAAAAGATTACAGAGAGAGAGAGAGAGAGAGAGAGAGAGAGAGAGAGAGAGAGAGAGAGAGACTGACTTAAAAAGCTGGGAAAAGGATTTCACGTAGAATAGAAAAGGCAGGTCATTATGATCAAAGGCTCTGATATAGGCCTCAGATGTGTAAATAGAAAAAAATGAGAATTCATATCACTCTGGAAGAGATGGCAGAATCCCAGGAGGGAAGTTAGAGGGCTTCAGAACAGTGTGTTCAATGTGTGTTTCTGATGAACCACTATTGCCACATGAGGATGATGGGCTTGAAGAAGGCAAGGCTAGAGGCAGAACTACTCCTCAACAAAAGGCAGCAGAATTTGAGGAAGGACAGAAATCAGAAGGAAAAAGATAGGGTAGACTAAAGAATCATTTAGGCGATGTATAAAACTTAAATCTAGTGACTGAGTAGAGAGAGGAGATGAGAGAATTAAAGGTAAGTCTAAGTCATGGATTCATAGCATGGGAATGAGGTACATGGTAACCTCACAACTTGCAACTGTAAATAAAGGAGACAATATGGATGAGTTCAGGAAGCTGGAGAAGGAGTGGGAAAAACATCAGAAATGTCGAATTTGAGATGCCTGTGAACGTTCAATGGCTATGTGTACCAGGTAGTGAGATGTGCACACTGGAGGTCATGACTGGAGTCACTGCATCATCAGATACAGCAAGCAGTAGTTAAGACTCAGAGTACACAAATGACAAGTGGAACAGAGATATACACAATCCTGGAGAATAACAACTAAAGACATGACAGACTGCCAGTGTCCATAGATATCTGTGTGCTTCTCTCCTCCCTCCGTAGAACATGCTGGACTATCTACACTACCTCTGCAATTAGACCATATCTCTAAACACTCTGTCTAGAGGCATATGGGAAGAGGTAATGGACACATACTTAGTCCAACTCACCAAAAAGGCAGTTTTCACTCAGAGTTGTACAGAAAGGCTTTTTAGAACAACTGTATGTTGGATTTTTTTCAGCTCTAACTGGAAGGAGAAATCAGTTTAAATTGTAAGAAAAAAGTAGACACACTAAATAAATCCCAAACAGGCCAGTCTTAGAATATATTTTAGAAGTTTATTATTTATATTTAAAAGATGCTCAGAAATAGCAACAAATTTTCTCATAAAAACAAGTTATAGGATCCTAAGCTAGTTTAAATATAGCACATATAAATATGTGTGTATACATATACACACACACACACACACACACACACACACACACACACACAAAGAGTTTGTGTTACACAACTACTTGCTGACAGGGTTAAAACAAAGCGTTCACTGAAATATATGTTCAGGATCTTCCTAGGGTGTGGAACCTTACCTGCTTTTCTATCTCCATCCTACCTTCACACTCCAAGCTTCAACAGCACATTCCTACAAGCTCTTGGAATAAGGCTGGAGGATAGGCAACAGAGAAGAGGGTGCAAAAAACTTTGGCTTACCTAAGTGATTTAAAATAGTCAAAGCACTGAGTGTAAGGGATGGGTAAGGGTTCCTTTCTGACTTCTCTCTTGTCTGCACTGAAACAACCAAAGCAAACTGAGGACCAAAAAATAGAGGGTGAAACTGGCTGAGTAACACGGAAGCAACTGAATCAAATTTCCCTCCCTACTCCTGCTGACTGATGCACAGAGTGCAAAAGGAGTTGTGAGAAAGTTGCTTTGACACTGAGTGACAAGGAACAACTGGAGATGGGTGGGAGGAAGACTGAGGAAGTGAGACAGAAGTCCTTTCAATTCAACTGTGTTCTTTAAAGGTGGGTATCATTTCTTGCCCAACTCTGCACTCCTGGCACCCTGAAATCTGGCACACAGTAGTCAGTCAGTAACTGTGCTGAATGAATAAATTTAAGTGTAGCAGAGGCTATGATTCCTCATGCAGAGCTCCCCTCATACCTAAAGGGCTTATTGTCTTAAATGCTGAGAGGATTACTGGCAGACAGCCCTCCATGGACAGGCTTCTTTGGAAACTGCCTCAACTGAAGACAGCCATCTTGGCCCAAGATCACACTCCTTCCTGCAGCAGCTGGGATCTCATGACCCAGGAAATAAAGCTCCAGCTTCTGTCACTACAACTTGAGGCAAGGGTGAGGAGCCACGCCAGCTTCAGAGCTGTACTTGGGGCTGCAGAAGGTCTACCACAACCTGGCTTTTCCTTTCCTTGGCAAGGCATGGGCCCCAAGAGGTCTCTGCAGTAAACACATTGCATTCTCAGTGTTCTACTCAGGGAGACCCTATTAGAGACAGCAGTGCAGAAGAGACCTATACTTAAGCCACATGAGGAAGCGTACTTGGTTTCATATTAAAGTCAATAATATTCAAAGGCTTTACAAAAGCAAAAGGTTGGACTCTTGTCCCTATCAGTATTTATTTCAGTCACACTGTTTTTCCTGCAGTGTTTGTCAATCAATATATGACTTGGTAAGGAACTGTTTTACATTGAAACCTACTTGGTGCATTAGGTATGCCTTAATTATGATCATAGAAATGCAATCCTTATTAGAAGCAATTTAAAATATGAAATTATAAGTTGTTACTATTTCACTACTGCATTACTACTACCAAGAACTAAATGCACACTGAACAACAACAAAAACGGTAAGAAGAAAACCATTTGTTTTATTTAGATATAGCTCTGCTCTATTTTAGTAATGTAATCAGTGTAGGGATTGTTGAGCTTAGTCATTAAACTGAGGTACAAAGGTTATTCTAATCACCTAAGCACTTTTTCTCTAACAGGAGACCACCTGCCGATTTGTTACTTGCTAGCATGGCTAGCATGACTAGCACTAGCCAGTTCTAATACAACTTAATTTGTGCTCATTACTAAAATGTGGGAGTGCTGCAAAATGTATAGACGCCAATATTCAGCCTTACTAAGACATGAAATGAGGGGACCATCTACGGGAAAATGTTCCAGGCCACACTTCCTGGAAGATGGCCCAACAGACATTTAGCAGATGTGCACATACTGAATGTACTTCTTTCAAGGACTAAGTAGGTCTTAATACTACTCACGTGTATTTCAGAGAATACACCTGGATTTGAATCATCTGCTCTGTGGAAATGTAAGAGGCAGAATGACACTGACCACCAACAGGCCTTTGTTCATACTACCTCACCTTTATGTTCTCTCTTTTTCTTTCCATAATACAAACATTAACTAAGTAATGCTGCTCTCTGTAGATATACGTTTGGGACATCACAAGAAAACACTTAAAGATAACCGAAACAGCACATTGCTAAGAGGACCTCTGCCAGTGCAAATATACATTAATGCATTGTACCCAAAATTAGTACCATAGAGTTTCTATAATTTGATCTACTCAAACGTTTAATTCACTTAACTGTTACCTCTCCTATCATGAAAAGCTACCACTAAGAATCCCATCTTTATTAATACTGCTTTTATTTCATCTCTTAGATATTGTTTCTTCTTATAAAAATATATTTAAATACCACAACTACTAGGGCTGGAAAGATGGCATGCACATGCTGCACACACATGCACACACACATTGTAAAATAATAAAAATCTTTTTAAAAAATCAGAACTATATTAGCTTCATATATAACAGCATAATTTTCAAATTCTTGTCAAAATAAAATTAAGTTAGCTTGTGAGTAAGTTTATTTTCACAGATTTTAAAAAGATAGCTAGTCTGTAGTTAAGTTATCTAGAAGGCCGCTTCCCTGACCCTTCCTGTGACAGTCATCTCTTTAATTTATGTTATGTGGAAATGTCTGAGATACACTAGGTCTTTGTTAGCTTACCATGAACATTTCCTAATGCAATATCCCCAGCAGCAGAAGACAACAATGAAGATTCTGTATAAAGATACTTGACTTTCAGCAAACCATCCTCTGTAGATATATTTACACAACTTCCCTGAAGTTTATCTATGGTCACAGTCTAGTAAAAGAGAGACTTATAATCAGTTCATTATAAAACAAACTGTAAACAACCAAAACAGTTCATCTAGAATAGTGGTTCTCGACCTGTGAGTTACAACCCCCAGAGGGGTCGCCTATCAGATAACCTGCATATCAGATATTTACATTATGATTTATAACAGTAGCAAAATCATAGTTATGAAGTAGCAATGAAATAATTTTATGATTGGGGGTCACCACAACATGGGGATCTGTATTGAAGGGTCGTAGCATTAGGAAGGTTGAGAACTGCCTATCTAGAATGATGACCAACTCCATGAGAAGTACACAATCAGCTTGACAACTGACTCCCTAGCTCTAGCTGCCAAGACTGTGGGCAACATGCATTCTTTGTAGAATGTAAAATAGAGCCAACACCAGATTCCTCCATTTATTTATGCCTTCTTTAGTTTCTCTTAAAATTTTACGTTTTCTTTGTAGAATTTATCTTATTAGTTTATTCCTACTAGTTATTTTTAAAGTGCTATTACACAATGTATCTCTTAAAAGTTCATGTTATCTTGACTTTTATATTTGAACTTACTCTAGCAACCACAATAAACTCACTAATTCCAATAATTTATTTGCATTAGAAAATAATTTCACATGTATAATTATATTATCTCCAAATGATCACTATTTCTTCCCTTCTATTATATAGTCTTATACTAATTACATTCTCTGTGCTTTTTCATTCTTTCTCTTATATCTGGATCCATTTTCCAATTCAACAATGAATAGTAGCAACTAGATGAAGAGCAGCCTACCTTATCTTCCTGTTTTTCTCAGAGGGAAAGTGTACTGCATCTCAGCAGGGAGTATGATGCTTGTGACAGAAGACGTTTTGTATGTATCTTTTATCTGATTAAACAATCATTGTATTGTTATTTCTATATTGAATTCATGAATGCGTTTTGAGTTTCACATGCTTTGATGCTGCTGAGCTACATGATTTTTCTCATATGTTGATGTAGTAACTATAACCTTCTAAAACTTTTCCACTTTACAGTTAATAAGGTAGCTTTCCAGTGAACAAAATGAAAGGAATTCTTATTCATCCTTAAATTTCCCTAACAAAATTCAGTATGTATTTGTGTTTCAAATATTGTTCACCCTGTAAAACAAAGACAGTTAAGAATTCACATCATCTCTACCATGTTATAAACGAATATGTGTTAATATGCAAATGTTGGCACTACACACTCAATTACTAGGATGGCTTGCCACAATTCTGCCCCCAAACAATTTCAAGTAGTACACCAGAGCATTTAAACCAACAATATCACTGTTATCAGCATCACCCTCCTCACAAGTTTTCCAAAAACTGTTAAGAATGTTAACAAATGTTACCAAACAAGATTGAGTTTCAAGAACAAAATACTATAGACAACAGTACAAAAAAATACTCAGTGGGTCTTGTGGGGCAGAGGTAAAAACTACTTTCCCCTCTGGATTCAAAGTACATAACTTCCTGTATTTTTTAGAAAGTATATGATAACATTGATTTTTAACTACTTGTTTATCTTAAGTTGATTACGGACTAACAGGAACTTTTACTTTAAAACTAGTTTCAATAAATCAAAAAACAAACAAACAAAAAATATAAAAATGCAAGTACTTTACTTATAAAGGAATTTACCAGAACATAAATGTTTTATCTTCCACAGGCTTACAATAAAGTCATAAAACTCCTGACAAGAAAGTCTTTACTTACAAACTCTAGTCATGAAAACTTGCTTAGTGTTCATGGTTTCACACTCTCCAAGAATTTCCATAAAACAGGCAACAAAATGGAATATCCCGGCCTTTCAACAGGGAATGGGGCTGTTTCACACCAAAAGAGGGACATTTAATGGAACATCTGAAACATCCTGAACTAGCTAAGGAGCACTTCTACCGAGATACTGCCTATCACCATGTGAAATAAAGCTGGGTTTCAACACTCTTTATGAGTATCTGGAAAATGCCAAGGATCTGTACTGTTCCTTAAAAACTAAATACATCCCTAGGAAGCCAGAAAACATCCTGCACTACCAAAGTAAATGAAAGCAAGTAAAATCTCAGCACACATCACCAACACAGTATAATTGCCAATCATTCATGCAGTTTCCCAGAAATTCTAAATTCTCCAAAGGCTACAAAACCTAAACGATATCACCTGAACAATGTCAGATAATAACTCAAAAAATTAAATTTGGGTTAGCTCAGTTGACAGCAAAATATTGACAAAATCTTATTTTTAGTCAGTAATATTACTGGATAAAAGTGGTCACATGTGGACTCTCTAGATTAAACTGATTTTTAACAGAAATTATTTAAAGAGAGGACAAAAGGTAGATCAGAAGATAAATACCTTCCTGAGAGAGGTGTCGCTAAAATTAATTTTAACATAAGGAGGGATTTTTCCCTACACTTGATTACTTTATTATAATACAATGTTTATAAGTAACAAAAATCAAGTCTTCAGGAAGTACTGTGACTCTGTAGTCTAGACAGAAAGGAAAGTGACAACTGTGTCATCAATCATCCTGGGATGTCGATGTTCTTGTTGAGTTATAGAGGCTGATTCTGAAATTCACAATATCATTTAGAACAGCCACAGCTGACAGTGCTACTGTTCATGATGTCCTTTTACTTTCATTATCTTGTTGAGTAAGTGAACAAGGAGATGCAGGCTCAGGGAAGAAAGGTGCCGTGATCTCTTCTGTAGTTCTTTTTCCTTCATCCTCACTGTGAGCAAGTCCTATGTCAGAGTCAGCCTCACGCAAGAGCCCATTTTAAGCAGTTTACTTGTACTGATGCCTGAATCTTCCTGTGAACGTTCTGAGATAGGTCCATTACTATGACCCCGTTTTTCAGAAAATTGAGACACACAAATGTTACGTAACTTGTCTGAAGTCACAAAACTCAGTAAGTGGCTGAGCCAGGAAATTTAATTCTCAACATGTGCTCTTAACCAGTAAGTATATTTTTATGTTTTTAAATAAACTTTCAAATGTTTTAAAAGTTAATACTATGCAGGAAAATTAGAAAAAATTCACAAAACTCAGGAAAGAAACAAAAGTTTAACAGGAAGTAGGAGTAAAAAATGTTTGACTGATTACCCATGTTTCATTTGGAACAAATTAACAACTAATGTCAAATTATTCAAAATAGCATGATTTCAATTTCTGATACTCACATCTGATTGAAAGCATATGATCCTGGGGCTGGGGATATGGTTCATTAGTACAATGCTTGCCAGGCAAGCATGGGCCCCGAGTTTGGATGCCCAGGACCCATGTGAAAACCTAGCACCACAAGTTTATAACTCCAGTTCTGGGAAGGTGAAGACAGGCAGATCCCTGGAGCTTACTGACTGGCCAGCCTAGCCAACATCCACGAGCTCCAAGTTCAGTGAGAAGCACTGGCTCAAAAAACAAGGTGACAAGCAATTGAGAAAGACACCCTGTGTTGACCACTGACCTCCAAGCACCTACATGCACCACACCCCCAAGAACTTGTAATCCTGTAGTAATATTATCTATTAATGCAAGGTTGAATGTGAAGGAACTGAAAAGTTGTTCCGTTTGCCTGTTTGCACCTCTAAGGAGATAGTAATCTGATTGAAAAAAACTAAAGATCATCTCCAAGGGCAGTGGCCTAAGTCTACAGGCTCTCAAGACTTTCCTAGTTTAATTTGAAATGTTTATTATATATTTAAATATTTGTTTTAAACAGCTTCCCACAGATTCTAAGAAAAAAGTGATAGGAAATTAACAACAGCAGAAACAATGCTACACTCCGTTTTTCTTAATTTTACCAGCAACGGGCAGTGGAAGTCTCACGGGCAAAGGCAGCTGCTTCTAAGCCCAACAATCTCAGTGTGATTACCAGGACCCACATGGTAGAAGGAGAGAACCGACTCCTACAAATGTTCCTCTGACCTCCACATGTGCATCTTGACACACACACATGCATTGTGTACACACACAAATAAATAAAATGTAATATAATTATAAAAATTATGACAGCAATATGCTACAGGACATGCTTATAACCTTCACCATCAGATTTAGATTTTTCTTGTAAGATTTAAAACACTATGTATCACAATTACTATTAACAGCACAATAAATAATTGGAAGCAGTAAATAGCTGATTTAAAATACAAACCATCTTTCTGTAACACAAATCTGAGGCAACATGGGGGTGGGGGATTTGGAGAACAGTAGCTCTGTCTCACAGTGCCACCTTGTGGAAACACTAAAGAAGCCAACTTTCAGATGGTTTTTCAGTTTTAATATTAAACCTCTGAGTCTACAATGGATTTGAGCATATCAACTGCTCATTCCCCATCCGGTTCATCCCAGAGCCCCTTTGCCTTATTCCCTCTCCCAATATCACGTCCTCTTTTCAAAACCCATGAGCATTTCAGAATTTACCCTTCGATTAGCCAAAAAGCAGCAAGCCTAGGAGAACACTGTATTCAAGTAAATCCAGCACCCACGAGAACCAAATTCCCATACTGGTGGCAGTACTTAATTTGGTATTTTAATTCATGACTATCAAAATAAAAGTCTCTTTAGACAAGTCAGAATTAAATATGAAGTGTTTACTGATTGTAACGAACTAAATAACTATCAAAAGTACTAAATCACACACTAAAATTTATATTATTAGCATTTAACCACTTCGGTTCCAAACATGAGCTTATTAAAGAACTAAATCACTAAAAAGAAAACACAACAAATTCTATAGAAGCTACTGTTTAAGAAATCAACAGCAAAGCTGAAGCTACTTAGAGGGTTTTAATCTTACACTGTGATGTGATGCATGAATATCTATATTTCCGCAAATTGTTCCCAGACAGATCACATTGCCTCCTTTTGTTTGAACATGTAATTCTTGGCTCTGAAAAACAAAAAGACCACAGAGGGTAGAGAGAGTAAGCTCACATGACACTAAGGAAACATTTTCTTCTGTGCATGTTCATAAAATAACCCAGGAATCAGTTTTCAGGAAAGTATGGAGAAGAGCAAAACAATTGTTCTCACAAAGATTTGTCTTACACTGTGATTAACTTCATCATAGTTACAGATGTGAACCTAAAATCCAAGTATTAATGAAGTTTTAGAAAGATCTATTTCCAAAGTAACTCTGTTTTCATATCCAAAGCTCTTAACTGAAATTAAGTGAATTTCTGGAGTGTCTCTGAAATTTATGAAGTTGTAAGGAAACTTTCATATACATGTTCATTTTTTCTTTAGAGATAAACAATCATGAGATTTTTTTTGAAGAGGCCTAAGGTTTAAAGACACTGAGCTATTGTAATCAGAAGCTCACCTGACTCCCATACAACATGGAAATTTTTAAAAAGTGAAAATGAGTCAGAAATTATTGGTGGAAATGATTGTGCTACATTTTTTTTAAAATGTAGATGTGTGACATTCACTTACTTTATTACTTCGGATTCTGAATAAATGCAACATTACCATATGTCTTCCTTAGCTAATAAAGAGAGCTGGGAAGAATTTGAGCTTGGAAACAACAAACTTAAGATCAAATCCCAGCTCAACTACTTTAGCTTTGTGAGCTTGAGTGAGTAAGTTCCTTAGTCTTTTGGTGCCTCTGAGTTTCCATTCTTGATAAATGAAGATGTTCCAAAGATTAACAAGGCTTAGCTGAGATTCTCAGTACATACTAACAATTCATCAGCATTAATTAGTTACTAAAATGCTATTTTATATATACATAACCCTATGTGTGATGTTAAATAAGTGAAAGGTAGACATATTAACAGATGACCACTAATTCAAGATCATATTGTACCATATTTTTAAAATCCTAAGCCAGATATTTTACCAAAGTGCCTGCATTTATGAGTGTGAGTTAGTTAAGGCTAACATTGCAAGAATAATTCTTTTAGTACAAGACTAGTGTCCTTGTTTCTCTGTTGCTATGATAAAGTATTGACCAAAACCAACGTTGGGGAAGAAAGAGTTTACTTGAATTACAGTTTTATAGCCCATCATCCAGGGAAGCTGAGGCAAGAACCTGGATGCAAGAATTTAAGCAGAGACCATGGAGGAGTGCTGCTTGTTGGCTTGCTCAGTGTACTTTCTTATATAGCATAGGACCACTTGCTAGGGGTGGCACTGCCCACAGTGGGCCAGGCCCTCCCCCATCAACCATTCGTCAAGCAAACACCCCACAGACTGGCCTACTCAGCTCCTCAATTAAGTCTCCCTCTGTACAGGTGACTCCAGTTTGTGTTAAGTTGCCACAAACTAGCCAGCAGCACTAGTATCAGCTTTAGTTCTAGTTCTTTTTTAGCTATTTTATTTGTAAAGACTGCTAGTTCATAGCTTTTTTCTTTCTTAACAAGTCTTCCATGGAACAAATACAAAATGTACTTAAAAACAGGATTAAATTCTATCTTGAAATTTCTGTATTAGTCCATAAAATTCTTGAAAATTTAAAGTCAAAAAGGAATAATGTTGTAGAATATTATTTTAAGGTGTGTTACTTTTGTTTATGCTCTGGAACATCTGTTTAATGGTGGAAAGATGTGTTTGATTAAATAAAATTCACCTGCAGTCAGGAGGCTGAGTCAGCAACTAGCTGACAGGAAGTGGTAGGGAGGAGCCAGGTGGAGAAGGGTTTATAAGGAGGGGTGAGGAGAAGTATAAGGGCTTTTTGGAGGACACAAGGAAGGAGAGGAGGTGAGCTACTTGTTCTCCAGCCTCTCTGAAGTGTAGCTGAAGTTTTGCTCTGTACCGCCTAGTCCGCAGTTGGGACAAATCTTTCCCACTCACGTCCCCCAAGTAAACACACAGAGGCTTATATTAATTAAAACTGTTTGGCCATTAGCTCAGATCTACCACTGACTAGCTCTTACACTTAAACTCAGCCCACTTCTGTTAATCGATATGTCCCCACGTGTCCCATGGCTTTACCTGTGTGCCATTACACTGGCGTCTCCTGACTCAGCCTTCCTCTTCCCAGCTTTCTCCTTGTCTGCTTATCCTGCCTATACTTTCTGCCTGGCTACTGGCCAATCAGTGTTTTATTAAACCAGGGTACAAAAGCATTATCCCACAGCATTTCCCCTTTTCTGTTTAATTAAAAATGAAAGTTTTAATTTTAACATAGTAAAATTATATATAACAAAACAGTTATCAAGCAAGAATTACAGTTACAATATCTAGTCTATTTAATGCTTTTGTACACTGTCTTTTATGACGTTTGTACAACTAAATTCTTTTAAGCTATCTCATATGTAGACAAATGTGAAAAGGAGGTGTGTAGTTGGTTCTTTTTTAATTCTTAGCTCTTTAGGGGCCCACCACCCAGCTCTCAAATAAATAACACAGAGGCTTATTCTTACTTATGAAATGCCTGGACTTAGCTCGGCTTGTTTCTAGCCAGCTTTTCTTAAATTAACCCATCTACCTTAAGCCTCTGCGCTTTTCTTTCTCACTGCTGTATACTTTTCTTTACTTCTTACTCCATGGCTTGCGGTGTAGCTGGGCGGCTGGCTCCTGGAGTCCTCCTCTCCTTTTCTTGCTCCTTCTCTTCCTTTCTAATGTTCTCCTTCTATTTATTCTCTCTGCCTACCAGTCCCACCTATTTCTCTTTCCTGCCTCGCTATTGGCCGTTCAGCTCTTTATTAGACCAATCTGGTGTTTTGGACAGGCAGAGTAACACAGCTTCACAGAGTTAAACAAATGCAACATAAAAGAATGCAACACATCTTTGCATCATTAAACAAACGTTCCCCCGCATAAGCAAATGTAACACATCTTAAAATAATATTCCACAACACAGGTACCCAGATAAAGATGGACAAACCAATGAATGAGGTAAAGACAGATGCATCCATCATTCAAATTAATGTTTTCAAAGTGAAAGCATTGCAACTGCAACACAGATGACCTAGTTCAATGAAACGTGTCAAAGGATTGGGTCTTGACCCTGCAAATTCTAGAACAATTAGAAATTGCTGTGGAATATTATCATAACTGGGCAAAGATGTGTTACTTTTGTTTATGCTGTGGAATATTACTTTAACTATGCAAAGGTGTGTTACATTTGTTTGTGCTGCCTTTGTTTAATTATGTGAAGATGTGTCGCATTTGTTTCACCTTGCCTGCCTAAGGCACTGACTGAAAGCTAAATGGCCCATAGCTAGGCAGGAGAAGAATGGGGGTGCTCGAAAGAGAACAGGGAGACAGAGAGGGACACACCCCGGGCAGGAAGCCAGCAGCCTCCAGACAGACACAAGAAGCAGTGAAACTAAGACATGCTAAGACCAAACATTCATAACTCATAGGTCTCCATGTCACGATTTGGAAGCTGGTTGGTGGCCCAAAAAAGAAAGCCTGCTACAGAAATAACAGCAAACTCCCTAACAGAGGTATAATATAAAACATATATGGCTAAGACCAATCTCATTAAGAAAAATGGAATGTAAAATTGTTAATTATAAATAAGCTGAATCATCTGTTCTGCAAAATTGGCTGCCTAGTACTCCATAAAGAGCTTCTGGAATATTAAAAATGAGTGAAACAGTCATACATTTTAAAGCACAGTTATAGTCCATAAAGACTTTCTTTTTCTTTAGTAAGTAGACAAAAATGGTGCGAAAACTAATTTTTTTTTTAGTAATAGTAGTATCTCAAAATCCTAAAAATATACTTTGGAGTTTAACTATGCTTTGAAATGACAACTAAAAATAATAATAATAAAAAAGAAAGAAAGAAAGAAAGAAAGAGAGAAAGAAAGAAAGAAAAACCTTCAAAGTTGCTGCAACATTTGTGCTTTTAAGGCAAACTTTTTTGAAGACTTTCTAAATGATGAATGATAATAATCTGAATAACAAATTAAGCCTTGTAGTTTAATTCTGTGATTTACAGTTTAAGGTAATTTTGCCACTGGAACAAAGTGAGAGAAATGCTCATACCTTCACAGATTGCAAGACGCTGGTCCCCTGCGCAGTGTCAATTTTACAGCTATCACATTCAATATTCTGCACCTTTACAGAGCCAGACCCTGATGACTCAATATTCAAATCTAGAAGCAAAAGCAGAAAAAAGGAAAAAGTCAGTGCCTAGCCTCAGAGCATTTTTTTTTTGTTTGTTTGTTTTGTTTTTGTTTTTCGAGACAGGGTTTCTCAGTGTAGCTTTGCGCCTTTCCTGGATCTCGCTCTGTAGACCAGGCTGGCCTCGAACTCACAGAGATCCGCCTGCCTCTGCCTCCCGAGTGCTGGGATTAAAGGCGTGCGCCACCACCACCCGGCTACCTCAGAGCATTTTAACATCCCCTAGGTCTTCAGGGACTCACTGCAGTGCTGGATCAGAGAGCAGCATGGTTTCTCCCTGAAAGCAAGAGGTCTTTACCAAAGCAGCAGGATCAAATGCAGAGCCTTTCTAACAGTTATCAGAGATTATATTTCCTGGCTTATATCATCTAAAGAGAGGAAAGGCCACAGATGGGAATAAAGGAGCTGAGTCGGCCATTCTTATAGGAAGGTACTCATGTCTCGTGTAGAAATAGCTTAGCTCCTATCCTATGAAAAGAACGCACACAAATGAGTAAGGATATGACAGTGAATTAACAAGTCATCAAATGTTAAAGTTGTTTAGCCTTGACTTATACTCCAGAAGATTTGAAACACTGATCACCTAATTAAGAGCATATTAAAATAGCAAGGATCAGTGTATGTGATCATGACCGAGGCTTTCAAATTCTACTCTAGCCTTTCACAACCCCCAAATGGGAATATTGCCATATAGCTGTAGCACAGGGTACTCGAAATAATTTTTAATAACCAGAATCATCTTTAAAAACCTAGTGATAAGAAGAATCAAAGCTACAACACTGGGGATAAATAAGAATGTTTTTGAAGAAAGTTTGAAAAATAGGGAATCACAGGTGGCATGCTCAGCTGTACAAAGCCAGCTTGGTCCACATAGTGAGTTCCAGGACAGCCAGGGCTCCGAGAGAGATTCTGTCTCAAAGACAAACAACAAAATTGTAAACAGTGATAATGACTATGCAATTCACACTAATATTAAAGATTTTCAGAGTATAGAAACAAATACTACTGTCTTAGTCACTGTTGCTGTGAAGAAACACTGACCAAACCATTTGGGGAAGGAAAGGGTTTATCTTACAGCTTTCAGTCCATCATGAAGGGGAGCCAGGACGAACTCAGGACAGGAACTGGAACAGAGATCACAGAGGAACACTGCCTTGCTCTCCATGATTCTCCAGCATACTTTTTTTATACAACTCAGGACAACCACAGTGGGCTGGGCCCTCCCACATCAATCATTAATTAAATGCTTCACAGACTTGCCTACAGGCCAGTCTGATTAAGGCTTTTTTTTTTTTTTTCAACTGAGGCTCCCTCTTCCAGGTGACTCTAGCTTGTGTCAAGCTGATAAAAAATAAATAAATAAATAAATAAATAAATAGCCGGCACAACTATGTTTCCCTAAAGCAAGTTATTGGGACCCAATGCCACAATTTCAATAGTTACAGGACGATGTCCTCAGTTGTGTGGCAATGGTTTAAATTAGCAACAGTACACTGAGTGAGAGGAAGTGAGAACACATAAAAAGCCGGATGCCGGTACAAACAACTGCACAGCTTACTTCCCAACTGAATCTAGTCATACAGCAAGAACTCAGGCAGGCCTGCCAACTATACAGGTGAGGAATGGAATTCTAAACACACTCTGCTGCGGGAAGTCAGAGGAACTGACAGCAGGAGCAATGCTCCGTTCACTGAGGCACTCTTTCACAAGCTGGAGGAACAAAGAATAAAATTAACTCTACAGATTCGAGAGGCCTGTGGAACAGAGGCATGGAGATAGTGCACCGGAAACAGGTTTCTGGTTAGAAGTAACGAGATTTCGGATCGCCAGCAGATGTAGCATCGATTTTCATAGATGCTGTTTTAAGTTTTGTTTAGCCCCCAACTGATACCCACCTATGGTGGTTTGAAGGAAAATGTTCCCCAAATGGAGTGGCACTGGTGGGAGGTGTGGCCTTGTTGGAGGAAGTGTGTCACTGAGGAGGTGGGCTTTCAGGTCTCCTATGCTCAAGTTACACCTAGTGAGACAGACCACTTCTTGTTGCCTGCACAAGATGTACAACTCTCAGCTACCTCTCTTGCACTGTGTCTGCCTGCACGCCAAGTCCCACCATGATGATAATGACTGAACCCTCCGAACTGTAAGCCACCCAATTAAATGTTTACCTTTATAAGAGTCGTCATGGTGTCTCTTCACAGCAACAGAAACCCTAAGACACCACTGTAGTGGGTAGCCGGTCTAGCTTTGACCTGGAAGTACCACCCCTTTGAGGCTTCGGTAACCATCAGGCCTACAAGGCGGAGCTGAGAGAGGACGCTGAAGACCCGGATCCGGATGGGCCAGCTCTCTTGGTAGAGTTCTCCAGAGGAAACGGCCGGAATGCGCTACGTCTTCCCCAGACCCTGTAACCTATCCCCTCACTTGTAAGTTACCCCACAAAATAAACCTCCCCTTTAACTACGTGGAGTTGCCTTAATATTTAAACCAGCACACCACCTTAATCTGTATTACGGTAAAGCCTCACCAGCACCTTCGGATTATTACATTTGGAGGGCACAGCCTCTTTTTCATCTAGGCTAGTTAGAAGTTGAGAAGCAATAGAGCATAATGTAATAAGACATAGGTTATTCCAGTGCACGCTTCCATTCGGTTTTAATTTTTCTCCTTAACTGGGACCCTGACTCTTAAATACTATTCGGGAACCCGAGAGTGTTGCTTTAGAAAAGGGGGCTCCTGAGTGGGCCAATTAGGTTAGAAAGCAGAGTGGAAAGAACCCGTTTTCACTTCACTTGCCAAACTTGACGGGTGCGTTCACCTCCACCGACGCCTGGGGGTCGATGTCCTCGGACAGGATGGCCATCTCCTGCCGGGCAGCGTCGTATTGGACCTGCAGGCTGTCCAGGCCGCGCGCCGCGCGCCCCGCCCCGCACACCGCCACCTGCACGCGGTCGCCGTCCGGGTACGCCAGGGGATCCAGGGGCCTCACGACCAGGTGGCACGGGAGCCGCGCCCTCAGCCGCCCGAACGGGCTCACCGGCAGCGTCCACTCCCTCAGAGCCGCGCGCGCCAGGCCGGCCCGAGGGTCGTCCGCTGCTCCCCGCCGCGCCCCATCGCAGCCGCGCGTCCGAGCTCCCAGAGCCCCGAACCAGGCGCCCGCCCGCACGCGGAGCGCGCAAGGCGGGAGGCGGCCGAACATGCCCTCTCCGAACGCCTCAGCCTTGGCTTCCCGGCCGTGCGAGCGCCCGCACCACGAGGCTGCCTCAGGTCGGTCACGAAGAACCAGCAAGGCCCAGCACAGAACCGAAGGATTTAAATCCCAGCTGCAAAACACACCCGGCAAAAAACTGGAACTTCAAAGCGCCTTGTTGAAACGGGGACCCTGACTCTTTGCCTATTTCCGCCCCTTTGGCGGAGGCCGCCGGGATATGTAGTTCTAGAGGAGCCAGACATCAAAGTACTCTGGTGGCTTTGGAACTACATATCCCAGGAGGCAGTGCGTCGAATAGACAGAGAGACAAGAGCCGATTGGTAGAGGAGCCTTGTCGTTGCTTCAAGTCCATTGGCCAAGGGACCGGAGGGGAGGGGAACTTAATCCAACTGACCAATGGAAAGAGTGGAAGGGACAGGACAGACTCAGCTTTGTGGTTACCTTGGATACCAAGGACGCGACTTCTTTGGAGAGAGTGGAGTTTGGGAGTGAGACCCCAGAGACCAAAACCCACAGAGAAAAATAAGAGTCTCAATAACGATCAGGACCAAGAGAAAGGGTAAGAATCAGCGTGTTTACAGATGGGAATTAGATGCAAAGTGACCCTCTGTAGGTTGTTAGAAGCAAACTTTATCAAACTAATGTTGAGTCCCCTGGTAACAGAGAATCCCTCAGCGAGAGACCTTACTTAGCAGGAGAGAGGAGACCATTCTGTTGCCCCATCTCTCCCTTCTCCTCTGCCCTTTAAGAGAACTCCCTCTCAGCTAGAAAGCACTAGATAGAAAAAGTGTTAGAATCCTGGCTCTTTCCTAACTGTAAGTAACCTTAGGTCAGTCATTCGGTGCCTTTGGGTTTCACGATTTGCTTGTAAAATGACGACAACAATATCTTTCTTGCCTTGTGTGGAAGGGTTTTTACAAAGATCAAATGAAATAACGGTTGGCAAAGCGGTGCACGGTCTACAAAATAATTAGAGTAGTGTTTTAGGAATAGCATTGTTTCTAAGCTGCCAGGAAATTTTGAGACATTTGAACATTTTAGAGAACTGCATAGATCTCTTTCACTACAAATGATCCTCGGCCTTAGTGGTAAAATAAAATCTTGTTCTTTTTTTCTTTCTTTTAGGCCATTAGACTTGTGAGGTGATGTCAGATTATTTCCTGTCCCTGTTGGTGTATCTGTGTCACCAGGTTTATCTGTGTTCCTTCAGTTTCGATGTAAAGATAGAATTACTAAATAACTCTATAAGACTTCTATCCTTCTTTATTATTAAGTAGGCAGTAAAAATAATGGAAAGTGTGGGGTGCAGGCATTATTGCAGCCTTGCTTTCCTAGTTTCTCCTCTTTCGTCAATTTCTACACATAATTCCCTAAATTCCTTACATACAGATAGTAGGTTTAGTAGAATGCATGTCCTATGTGGTGGCGTTCACTTGTAATCCTCCAGCATTTGGGAAGCTGAAACTGAGGATCTCAAATCTGAGGTCAACCTGGGCTGCATAGTGAGAACTCTGTCTCAAAAACTGAAACAAAATGGTACCTTCAAAGATTGAAGCCCTCACCTCAAAGCTTGGGACCTGAGACTGGTTGACTGAGCTAATGCCCTCCTCACCAGTGTCCATATTATTCCTTTAGTGAAGACTGCAGCTCAGACCTGCTGCCAGCACCTCAGAAGTTCCCTATCCTGAGGCACTTCACTGAGGTGAAGCCCATCCTTGACTTTGCTGCAAAAATGAATGTCGGGATAAGTTAGTATGAAAGAGAGTTGGAGCTGATTAAAAAGAGATTTTAAACATAGATTTAAGTAGCGTGGGTGTTGATAAAGGTGATCACTCGGGGAAAGAATTTGACATACCCAAAAGAACAGGTATAGGCTTTCAAAGGAGAGTATGTCCTTAAGTGTCTTTGCAGTAGCTCTGTAAATTGACTCTTGGTGACCCTCAAGTTATACCTCAAAGGATTTCTTTTCTCTCTCTCTCTCTCTCTCTCTCTCTCTCTCTCTCTCTCTCTCTCTCTCTCTCTCTCTCTCTCTCTCTCTCTCTCTAATTAAGAAAAATTTTCCTTTCATTTTACACACCAATCAAAGATCCCCCTCTTCCCTCCTCTCACCCCTCAGCCTCCTTCTCCCAACCACCTCCCACTCCTCCCCACAAAAAGGCAAGGCCTCCCATGGGGAGGTACATCCAGCAGAGGCAAGTCCAAGCCCCTCCCCCTGCCTCAAAGCTGCATGAGGTAGTGGGTTCCAAACAGCCTGCTCATGCACTAGGAATGGATTCTGATCCTACCACTAGGGGGCCCCCCAAGCAGATCAAGCTACACAACTGTCTTGCCATGCAGAGGGCAGAGCCCGGTCCCATGCAGGCTCCACAGCCATTGATCCAACTTTCATGAGGCCACATATATTTAGGTCTTTGTACGTTTCCCCATCATGATCCTGATGCACTTGCTCATAGAATCCCTCTTCTCTCTCCCTGACTGGACTCCTGGAGCTCTGCCTGGTGCCTGGCTGTGGATCTCTGCATCTGCCTCCATCAGTCACTGGAGAAAAGCTCTATGATGACAGTTAGGGTATTCACCAATCTGGTCACTGGGGTAAGCCAGTTCAGTTCAGGCACCCTCTTCACTATTGCTAGTAGTTTAAGCTGGGGTCATCCTTGAGGATTCCTGGGAACTTCCCTAGCACTGGGTTTCTCTCTATCCCCATGTCTCCCTTTATCACGGTATCTCTTTCATTGCTTTCCCACTCCATCCCTGTTCCAGCTCGACCATCCCATTCCCTTATGTTCTCATCCCCATCCCTTCCCCGCCATTGCCCACCCCTCATCCCCATTTACTCATGGAGATCTCATCTATTTCTCCTTCCCAGGGTGATCCATGTGTCCCTCTTTGGGTCTTCCTTGTTAGCTAGCTTCTCTGGAGTTGTGGGTTGTAGTCTGGTTATACTTTGCTTTACATCTAATATCCATTTATGAGTGAGCACATACCATGTTTGTCCTTCTGAGTCTGGGTTACCTCACTCAGGATGATATTTTCTAGTTCCATCCATTTGCCTGCAAATTTCATGATGTCATTAATCCATTCTTCAGTTGAGGGGCATCTAGGTTGTTTCCAGGTTCTGGCTATTATGAATAAGGCTGCTATGAACATAGTTGAGCATATGTCCTTGTGGTATGAGCCTCAAAGGATTTCTAAGAAATGTCTTTAAAACCTTCTCTCTCTTTTTTCAATAAGTGAGATTATAGGATGGCTTTAGAGGTGTCTTAGATTGGGTTACAATCCTAAAATAAAACCATGTCATAAGAGTTGTAGAGGGGATTAAGACATGTCCTTTATTGTAAATAGGGTTTCTGGTGAGATTCCTAGAAAACTGCTGGTTTATACCTGAGAAAGAAGAAAGGCCACATATATTTAGGTCTTAAGCAGAATTCATTGCTACTTCAACATTCTAACTGTATAAAAGAAATATTACTGATAGGTTTTTTTTGTATTCCCAATAGTAGGTTTCTCCACTGATGTGGTAAGCTAAATCAAGCTGAATTAAAAAGAAAAGGGCCAGGTTTAACCTGAGCGAAGCACTCCCAAGTGACTCTTAGGAGGGGAGCAGGAGAGAAATCACATGGCTGGTCTAAAGGGGGTGGTTTAAATACCCTGTAGGGCAAGAAGAGTTTGTGCTATGATAAGATTTTAGGTGGGGTCTTGGGTCACTGCGTCACAGAACTGGGCTGTCGGAAGTTTCTCTGAGAGGGTGGGGTTTGGGGAGGCAAGAATGGGGCTTTCTTAGCTGGGCCAAACTGTTCCAGCTGAACATCCCGACCTTCTTGGATGTATGGGCACCAGTTCAAGTCTGACTGCTTCCTGCTGGCATGTGATAGTATGGGGAGGGGAAGTCGAGAGTAGGTGGGCTTATGCTCAGCAGGAGGTGTGGGTGAAGGGGCATCCAGTTAACTGTTGTGACCTCAGGAATCTGTTTCCTGGGGAAGCTGAGAAGGCGAGTTGCCCTAGTTCTACAGAAGAGGCAAGGGTGAATGAGCCGGACACAAGAGCAGGCATGTCCTTCCTTTACTGGGACACTTTGAAAAGCTGGAGCATATAGGATCCCAGTTGCTGGACAGACCATTTATCTTGGATAGGTGCCCACTTGAACCTGGAGCGGTGGTACCAGCACTGATGTTCCAGGAGCTTGGGGGGATATGGAGTTTCCAGAGGTGTTGAGGGCTTCAAACATGAGCTCAATAATCCTGAGCCATCACATCTGCTGTTTCCCTTGAGGTAGGAAATGCCTCTATCCATCCTGCAAAGATGTCAACAAGAGTTAGGAGATAATGGAGCTTTTTATGAGTGGACATGTGGGTAAAGTCAACCTGCCAGTATTTGCCCAGTTGGTGTCCTCAGAGCTGGTTCAGGAGCTGGTGTATATGGAGGGCCCCCTGTGGGTTGGCCTTGGCACACATCTGGCAGGAGGAATGGACCTGTAAAATATGGGCTCTAAGATGGGTGGGGTCAAAAAGGGGCTCTAGAGACTGATAGTAGTTACTATAACACAAATTTTAATTGGTCTTAATATTGAAAACCCAGAATCAGACATCGGGGTAAATGCTGAAAGATCAGAGAGATGAAGGTGCAAGCCAACTCCTCAGCTGAAAAAGGGTTGAGCTTCTGCCTCTGCCAGTGTTATAATCTTCTCTCCACCCAGCCATCACTTCCTGTTTCCTCCTCTCTAGTGCTGGGATTAAAAGCATGTGCCTCCCAAGTACTGGGATCAAAGGCATGAGATCCCAAGTGCTGGGATTAAAGGTGTGTGCCACCAGTGCCTGGCCTCTATAGTTAACTAGTGGCTAACTCTGCCCTTTGATCTCCAGGCAAGCTTTATTTGTTAGAGCATAAACAAAATATCACAAGTTTCCACCAGTCCAAATTCCTTGATAAAGTAACCTAACTCTTTCCCCAGGAACATGTAGGTGTCTGTAAAACAGCTGGAACAGATTTACACCCGGGTGTCATAGCAAAGGCTATGCCTTTGGGTTAAAAGGCATGAGCATTTTTCCTAGGTCCTGGTTTTAGCCCAATGAAACACACCTTTAAGACTATAGTTAGAAGACAACCAGAGGAAATTTACTGAAAACAAAAACAAAACAACAACAACAAAAAAATACAGGTTGAGCAAGCAAAGGAGGAGAGAGGGAGGCTGAGGGAAGGAGGAAGAGCTAAGCACGCATGCGGGCTTCCATACCACCTTCAGTGCTAACCTGTTTCAGAGGGGAGGAGTCGGCACGCATGAGCAGCCGCAGATTGTTGTTTTTTTTTAAAGATTTACTTATTTGTTTGTTTATTTATTTATTGTGTATACAGCATGTATGACTACAGGCCAGAAGAGGGCACCAGATCTCATTACAGATGGTTTTGAGCCACCATGTGGTTGCTGGGAATTGAACTCAGGACCTCTGGAAGAGCAGTCAGTGCTCTTAACCTCTGAGCCATCTCTCCAGCCCTGAGCCATCTCTCCAGCCCGCAGCTGCAGATTGTTGAACTGTCACCAGTATCATTCCTTTTAGCAACACT